AATTTTGCCTGACCATCAAAAACGACGTAAGGCACAATAGTCACTGCCTCACCGTGACCGTTACTCATTTTTTGGTATTTTAGAGCCATAAAACTAGAATGTTTGCCCGATTTCCAGATTTTTATGTACTATAGCGCACGCCTTTGTACGGGCCCGGATCGCCTAAAATTTTGCCGTCACATAAAAAACGTCCTAAGAAACAATAGTCACCGCCTCTTCATGGTCGTTACTCATTTTTTGGCGTTTTAGGGCTATAAAACTGAAATTTCACCTGATTCCCAAATTTTCGTGTGCTATAACTCACGCCTTCTGCATGAGCCCGGATCGACTAAATTTTTCCTGACCTTCAAAAATGACCAAAGGAACAATATTCACTGCCCCGCCATAATCGTAACTCATTTGTTTGCGTTTTATGACCATAAAATTAGAATTACGCCCGATTCTCAAATTTTCGTGTGCGACAGCCCACGTCCTCTGCATGGGCCCGTACGACCGGACCCAGATCGTCTAATATTTTGTCGGCCCATCAAAGACGACCTAAGGAATAATAGTCACTACCTCGCTATGACCGATACTCATTTTTTATCATTTTAGGGCCATAAAATTGGAATTTCGCTTGATTCTCAAATTTTCATGTGCTATAGCCTACACCTTTTGTATGGGCCAGGGCGACAGGACCCGGATCACCTAAAATTTTTCCGAAACATCAAAAACGACCTAAGGAACAATAGTCGCCGCTACTCGTTCTTTGGCATTTTAGGGCCATAAAATCGGAATTCTGCCCGATTTTCAAATTTTCGTGTGCTATAGCCCATGCCCTATGCATGAGGCGGGGCGACCTGACCCAGATCGCCTAAAATTTTATCGGACAATCAAAAACGACCTAAGGAATGATATTCACCGCCTCAGCATGACCATTACTTATTCTTTTTGCGTTTTAGGTCTTTTGGCCTGAATTCATGCAGATGGCGTGGGCAATAGCACACAAAACATTTAGAAATCAAACCGAATTTCAGGTTTTTGGCCCTAAAATGCTAAAAAATGAGGAATGGTCATGCCGAAGCCATAACTATTGTTTATTAGGTCATTTTGGATGACCCCACAAAGTTTAGGTGATTCGGATTCGGTAACCCAGATTCATACAGATGGCGTGAACTATGCATACAAAAATTTGGAAATTAGCTTGAATTCTAGTGTTTTTGCCCTAAAATGCCAAAAAAAGAGGAATGGTCATGCTGAAGCCTTAACTATTATTCATTAGATCATTTTTTATGGCCCTGCAAATTTTTAGGTGATTCGGATCCAGTAGCCCGGATTCATGCAGATGGCGTAGGCTATAGCATACGAAAATTTGGAAGTCGGCTCGAATTCCATAATTTTGGATCTAAAATGCCAAAATATGAGGAACAGTCATGCAGAAGCCATGGCCATTGTTCATTAGGTCATTTTTTATAGTCCCGCAAAATTGTATGCAATTCGGATTTGGTAGCCCGGTTCATACAGATAGCGTGGACTATAGCACACAAATATTTTGAAATCGGTTTGAATTCCTGTTTTTTGGCCCTAAATGCCAAAAATAAGGAACGATCATATCAAATCCATGACTATTGTTCATTAGGTCATTTTTATGGCCCCATAAATTATTAGATGATTCGGATCTGGTAGCCCAGATTCGTGTAAATGGAGTGGACTATAACATACGAAAAATTTAGAAATTGGCTAGAATTCCAATTTTTTGACCCTAAAATGCCAAAAAATGAGGAATGGTCATGCTGAAGCCGTGACTATTGTTCATTAGGTCATTTTTTATGGCCACGTATACTTTTAGGTGATTCGGATTCGGTAGCCCAAATTCATGCAGATGGAGTGGACTATAGCATACAAAAATTTGAAAATCGGCCCGAATTACCGTATTTTAGCCCTAAAATGTCAAAAAATGAGGAACGGTTATGCCGAAGCCATGACTATTGTTAATTAGGTCATTTTTTATAGCCCCGAAAAATTTTAGGTGATTCGGATTCGGTAGCCTAGATTCTTATAGATGTCGTGGACTATAGCATATGAAAATTTAGAAATTGACTTGAATTCCATTTTTTTTCTCTAAAATGCCAAAAATGAGGAACGGTTATACCGAAACCATGAATATTGTTTATTAGATCATTTTTGTGGCCCCGCTAAATTTTAGGTGATTCGGATCCGGTAGGCCAGATTCATGCAGATGGCATAGACCTCAATTCTAGTTTTTTGGCCCTAAAATACCAAAAAATGAGGATAGGTCATGCCGAAGCCATGACTATTTTTATTTAGATTATTTTTTGTTGTCCCATAAAATTTTAGGTGATTCGGACCCGGTAGCTCGGATTCATGCAGATGTTGTGGACCATAGCAAACAAAAATTTAAAAATCGGCCCGAACTTCAACCTTTTGGCCCTAAAATACCAAAAAATGAGGAACGGTCATGCCAGAGCTATGGCTATTGTTCATTAAGTTTTCTTATGGCCTCGCAAAATTTTATTCGATTCGGATCCGATAACCTATATTCATGCAAATGGTGTGGACTATTATAGCCCATGAAAAATTTAAAAATCGGCCTGAATTCCTTTTATTTGTCCTAAAATGCTTAAAAAGAGAAACGGTGATGCCGAAGCCATGACTATTGTTCATTAGGTCATTTTGGCATACATAAATTTAGGCGATTTGGCTCCAGTATCCCGAATTCATGCAGATGGCATGGACTATAGCACACAAAAATTTGAAAATCGATCTGAATTTTAGTTTTGCCCTAAATGCCAAAAAAGGGAACAATCATGCTGAAGCCAACCCGCAAAATTTTGGACAATTCAGATCCAGTAGCCAGGGTTCATGCAGATGGCGTGTGCTATACCTCACAAAAATTAGAAACCGGCTCAAATTCTTGCTTTTTGGCCCTAAAATACCAAAATACGAGGAAACGGTCATGCCGAAACTATGACTATTGTTCATTAGGTAATTTTTATGGCCCCGCAAAGTTTTAGGAGATTTGGATCCTGTAGCTCGGATCCTGCAGATGGCGTCGACTATAATACACGAAAATTTAAAAATCGACCCGAATTCCAGTTGTTTGGCCCTAAAATGCCCAAAAATGAGGAACGGTCATGCCGAAACCATGACTATTGTTCATTAGGTAATTTTTGATGGACGCCCAAAATTTTAAGCGATTCGAATTCGGTAGCCTGAATTCATGCATATGGCATGGACTACTATAGCACACGAAAAATTAAAAATCGGCCCGAATTCCAGTCGTTTGGCCCTAAAATGACCTAAAATGAGGAACGATCATGCCGAAACCATCACTATTGTTCTTTAGGTCATTTTGTATGGCTCCAAAATTTTTTAGGTGATTTGGATTCGGTAACCCGAATTCATGCAGATGACGTGGACTATAACACGCAAAAAAATTGGAAATCGGCTCGAATTTCAGTTTTTTGCCCTAAAATGCCAAAAATGAGGAACGATCATGCCGAAGTCATGACTATTGTTCATTAGGTCATTTTTATGGCCCCGCAAAATTTTAGGCGATTCGAATCTGATAGCCCGAATTCATGCAATTGGCATGGACTATAGCACACGAAAATTTGAAAATCAGCCTGAATTTCAGTTCTTTTGCCCTAAAATACCAAAAAATGAGGAACGGTCATGTCAAAGCCATGACTATTGTTTATTAGGTCATTTTTTATGGCCACGTATAATTTTAGGCGATTCGAATCCGGCAGTCCGAAATCATGCAGTTGGCATGGATTATAGCATAGAAAATTTGAAAATCGACTCGAATTCTAGTTTTTTGACCTTAAAATGCCAACCAAAGTCATGACTATTGTTCATTAGGTTATTTTTTATGGCCCCGCAAAATATGGGCGATTCGCATTCGGTAGCCCAAATTCATGCAGATGGCATGGACTATGCACATGAAAAATTTGAAAATTGGTCCTCATTCCAGTTTTTTGGCCCTAAAATGCCAAATAAATAAGGAACGGTCATGCTAAAGCCATGACTATGATTTATTAGGTCATTTTAATGGCCCTTAAATTTTAGGCGATCCGAATTCTGTATTCCGGATTCATATAGATGACGTGATCTATAACACACGAAAATTTGAAAATCGGCCTGAATTTTAATTTTTGGCCCTAAATTGACCCCCTCAAGATTACACGTAAGTACGCCTCTAATGAGGAGTTTAATTCGATGGCTAATGATTTTGCCAATTTAGCCTTTAGTCAGGAGTCTCATTTTAAATGACAATGCCTTTATGTCTTCTAACAATTTTTTTTTTTTTTTTTTTTTTTTTTTTTTTGCATGTGGCAAGAGATGTTGAATCTTCATTTCCTCGGCTTGATTTCTACCCATTGTTGCTTTATTTCTCTTTGGAAAGCAAAAATCAAGATTTAACTTTCTCAATCATTAATGTCACAATGGCCAAATCATAGACAAAAAAGTAGGCTTGAATTGGTCAGCCAATATAATGGACTTTTCTATGTTTCTAGATTCACAGCGTTACGCAAGGAATGCATCGAGCTAATGTCGTAAGAGAGAGGTTTGATTCGTATTTATTCCACATGTACAAATATATATATATATATATATATATAAACCAACTGCTATCGAAAGTTTACTAGCTCGATTAATCCATTTTATATACAAAATACCTAGATAGCTAAAATGAATCTTGTACTATGTATCACAAAGTACAGTATACTCGTTTGAGATAAGTGGACGTGAGCTAATACGTACTGTTGGTTTGAATTGGTCAGCACTCAACATTTGGACTTTCTTATTTGCTGTCTCATTATTTGTTTTTGTTTCACTTCTAAGAGAGTATGACCAACGACCATTCCACTTAGAAAAACTCGTTTTTAGCAGTCAACTCTCCCTTTTTTTCCACATGCCTTTTTGTTCACTTCTCATTATTTACACTATAAATCCTTCCCTTTTAAATTCAAATGTGTCTATCTTCTTGTTTTCATTACTCATCTCCTACAAAAAAAAACTCTTAAAAAACCATCATCTCATGCACCCAACTTCTCCTTCAAATTTCAAAAATCCTTTTAAATTTCTAAATCTCACAAAAAAGACAAATTTTTTTTCCATATTCCAAGATTGTGTTCGATCGTTTTCCCGAGTAATTTGCTTGTCAATAACATTCCACTCATAAGTAGGTTCACATCGTGCCTAAATTTCCTGTAACCCTGTGTAACTCAATACGCCACGTTAGTAGAAAGAGTTAAGCTACTAAGCTAAGTTGTTGTTACGAAACTTGGGGCCACGTCCACCTTTCTAGGCTACATAATAGCTCCCCTTTTTCTTTTCCAATTCCTTCTTTTAAAATGGATTGTGCTTTCAATTGGGAATACAATACACTTATAAATGAGCTAACTCAAGGTATTGAACACACTAAGCAACTTAGAGCTTACTTGAGCTCAATGGCTTCTACTACTACTGAAAATCAAGAATTGCTTCTGCAGAAGATTCTTTCTTCTATTGAGCAATCTCTGTTAATTCTCAAATGCAGTGGATCGTCTATCCAATCTCCCCAGCCTGTGCTACAAACATGTGGTGCAATTGAATCTTCGGTTTCAGTTGATGGAAGTCCTAGGAGTGAGGACAAGAAAAGGAGTTTCAAAGATCATCAAGAGGTCATAAATATTTCAAAGAAGAGGTACATCAAATTCCGTTCAAAAAAATGATATTTTTCTATATTTAGAAGCTCTTGAACTTTACACATCACTTTTTCTCGTAAGAACATGCTCTTATAGCCATAGAAATGTGATCAACGGCGGAGCCAGGATGGGTTTGAAACTCTAGTCCTTTTAAGCTACTGAGTTCTAAATTGATAATTTATATATTCAATGGATTTCATAAAACAAATATATGGTTTGAACCAAAACTACTGAGTTCGGCCGAACCTGCAAGCGCAAGGCTAGCTCTGCCCCTAGAAATGTCATGACATGTTTAAATTCACTAGTTTTAAGGGTACTTTTGATATGTGCTCAAAAGTTTCTTTCTTGTCCAGTCAAACAGTGTCATATGAAATGAAACGGCGAATAGGTCAACTTAACCTGGTTCTTGATGTATGTTGCAGAAAATCACAGCCTACATGGACTGAACAAGTCAAAGTCAGCGCACAGACTGGATTTGAAGGTCCTACTGATGATGGATATAGCTGGAGAAAGTATGGTCAGAAAGACATTCTTGGAGCTAAATATCCTAGGTAATAAGTCAATTTCTTCTCATGTTCTAAATATAAAATGCACCAAATATAAGCAGCTTATGTCTACCTTTCAACTTCAAATATCAAAAGTTCTTATCCCCTTTTGATCATGCTCTATTAGTACATAGAGATGCGGATCTGGCCTTCTGACACCGGGTTCCACTGAACCCAAAACTTTCAAAATTTATATGCAAAAATCCACTAAAATTGCAATAAATTATTGATATGAACCCATAACTTTAAAAATATAATAAGCTCAATGGTAAGAAACTTAAAGGCTGAACTCATAGAATTTAAATCCTAGATCCTCCTCTGAGTATATATAATTAAGAAATCAACAGTATACTTTTCTAGGAATTCTCGGAAACAGAGTCCTATGTTGTGATACCAAGTTTACATATGTTTTCCAGGAGTTACTACAGATGCACATATCGTCACATGCAAAATTGTTGGACGACAAAACAAGTGCAAAGGTCAGATGATGATCCTACTGTATTTGAGATCACATACAAGGGTTCCCATACTTGTCACCAAGCTACTAATTCTGCACTACAACCGAAATCACCAGAAAACCAAGAATTCAAGAAACAAGCCAACTATCAAACAGGGCAATATTCGAATCAAGTGCTGATGAATTTGAGAGCAAACCTGAGAGTCGATACTAATGATTTGGACAAGAATGAGACAGCAGCATGTTCTTTCTCCTTTCCTCCAACATTCTCTGGTTTGACAGATGAAAATCGACATTTCCAGATTTCCCATGTTGATGAAAATCTGATGATAGGTGGCGGCTATTCACCGTCTTTTGTCTCTCCTACGACCCCTGAATCAAACTACTTCTCAATCTCGAGCAGCTGCCAGATGAATGGTTTTGGAATGGTTCATAACGGGCACCGTTCAGAATCAGACCTCACTGATATATTCTCAGCCAACACTTCCTCAACAAGTTCTCCAATTTTGGACGGCGAGTTTTCACTAGACCATTTTGAGCTAGATCCAAATTTCCCATTTGATAACCCCAGATATTTCTCATGAAATGCACTTAAAAAGAACAATAAAGATGAACAGTGTGGATGTTAATTGTTATCGCCGAAATCCTTTATAGAAGTAGATGATCCCTCCTTTAATAGTTAGTATAGACATGCTTTGCAAAAATTAGCAACAAAACCAGCAATTGAATAGAAACTAGCTGTATACAATAGTCTACTGAACTTCCTGTATTCTGACATCAAGCTGCTGAGTGAAATTCAAGCATATTCTTTCAAAAGGCTATTGAACATTCATGAATTCTATCAAACTACAGAAAGCTCGGCTATTCACCTTTGCGCTATTCACATTTGCTTACTATCATAAGCAGACAGAGAACAATTGGGGAAACCAGAAAGCGTATCTAAAATTTGCAGACACTAAGATGCCACAAGCCCTTAGGCTGTTGCAAACAGACAATTCTTAGCACTCTTTATCGTTCAATTGCAGCAAGCAGGAAGTTATTTAGGCGGTTGTAAAGCCTCCGACATTATACTTACTCCGGAAGAAGTCACAAGAAAATCCATAGATTCATAGACAACAAAGATCATAACGACTAAGTAGTATAGGTATAAGTAAAACTATTACTCCCTACGTTTCATTTTATGTGTCTTAGTTTGATTAGGCACGAAGTTTAAAGAAAAGTAAGAAAGACTGTTGAGTCTTGTGGTAAATTAAAGATGTGTGTAATGTACCAAAATGCCTTTGAATCTTGTGATCTTAAATATGCCATGTGGAATATTGGAGTTAAAGAGTTACTAAATATAGAAAGAGGCATTCCTTTTGAACCAGACTAAAAGGAAAGTAGGACATATAAATTGAAACGGAGGGAGTAGTATTTAACCTTTCAACAGGAGCACACCATTTACATGAATTTCTCGGAGCATTGTATTTCAATTATCATCGGGAGGATCCAACAATAAATTCCAACAGATTAAATAAGTAAAATAGTTTAAGAACAACTAGAACCATCAACAAAAACACGAGAGCCAGAGAAGATGCTGATTATCTGAGTTCTTCAACGTCTGTGTTATGCCGTCAATTTCTCTGATGATGCATCAAGATCGGATGCAACTATGCTTGTGGTGAAGATACAATTTTGACCAGAGGGTCCGGAGCAGCACGTCAGTTATAGCATACACCTAACGAAACCAGATGGGCAAAGAAAAAACAATATTTTTCTTTGAACCGCTGATATACTGATGTCTACAAACAACAAAGGAGGATAGGTACTAGAAAGATGACTTCTTTTCCTCTTTAATTCTGGAGACATCGCTGGTTTTGCCTTCTTCAGGATTCCCGGCTTTTCTAATAGCTTCTCTTAGACCCAACACGATGAATAAGTTGGTTAAAGTGAGCAGTGACTCAGCTCCTCCGTGCAACCAATCCACGTTCGATAGAGAAGTTCCATAATGCACTTTCGCTGTCACAAAGTTTAATCAATTAGAATCACAAGTTTAAGTTTGGTTTGTACAATTAAATAGAATCTTTGCTAAGAGAGGAAGTTACCATAAATTCCTGCGGGAACTGCACGAACGAGGTGAAAAAGAAGGAACCACAAGGTTAGTACAAATAAAATGAAGTTACAATGATATTGCTAGCATAGAGAAGTAAATTTTTGAAGAAGAATATGAGGTAAATATGTAAAAACGTCAAGAGAGAGATATGAGGGACAAAATTTACACACTACTTTCGACCTATTGAAGGCAATGCTCTAGAAGCAATAAAAAGAGGATAATGATGAAAGATTTCCAACTATAGTTAAAGCGTCCTGAAATGCGTAAAACCAGTCATTAACGACGAATTATTCAAGCACAAAGAACAAACTACCTACAAAGGGAAAATATTTCAATGATTGCTCTCGTCGGATTTGAACCTAGTAGAGTAATTAAATCCAGACAAATCCTATGGAACGCCAGAGAAGGCATCTGCATTCATACTTGATGCCTTTATAACTCCGAACCACCCTAAGTGCACATAAAGAATATTCTTTGAAAGTGGCATACAAGAAAAAATAAGAGATGAAACAATGGTTAGAATTATAACTTTATACGACTATTTAGCTGTAAAAGAAAATGACAAGAACAACAAATAAGATTGACGTGAAAGCTTTTCTCCCTTGAGATATTGTAAAGACACAAGCTTTCTGGTTGAATATGGCAAATTGAGAGTAAGAACTAGTTTTAGGTAAGAAGGACCAAAGCGCACCGAAAGAACCTACCGATTCTTGCCAGTCATAACAAGCAGAACAGGTTAGCCTTTGTTTGCCCCATTGGCGAAGTCATAAGTTGTGATGAATCTGTGTCGCTACTATAAAGTGGTTTCCATAAAACTATTCCGTAACAACTCAACCTAAGAGCTGATATGTCTCCAAGACCTCTAACATCCGATTATTTCAGTTATTCCTAGCAGAAGGTAAAATCATTATTACTCTATAGAACTTCCCCTTTAATTTGACAGCTAATTATTTTCTTCTGTGCTGCCACATTAACCAAATTACACATGGTGATTAACTTTTCGTTCCTTCATCGCCAGCTCCTTTGATTCGCAAGAGAGCAGTAACAACAACTGTTAAGACAACCTAATCGAATCAATTGCAGCAAATTCTAAATTCTGTCTCACAGTGATTCATAATCAATATATCCAACTATTCTCTATCTGCTTAATGACCCCAAAATATAACTGAGGGTAAAATTAAGATATTTAGTGGTAAATTTCGAAGGGGAGCCTTAGAGCAACGGTAAAGTTATCTCCATGTGACCTATAGGTCACGGGTTCGAGCCGTGGAAGTAGCCACTAATGCTTGCATTAGGGTAGGCTGTATTCGTCACACCCCTAAGGATGCGGCCCTGAATACAAAACTTTGTGCATCGGGCTGTCTTTTTTTAGTGGTAAATTTCAACATTTTCCCTAAATACAAGGATGTTCCTGATCATCAATAAAAAAAACAATCAAATTATGATGAATAATCTAAACAACATAACAAGAAAAACAGCATGTAAAAATCAAAATAAGGATGTTACTCACTAGTGGCCCCTACAAAAGCAAGCAAGAAATAGAACCCAAAAAGTGTAAGCTTAGGAGCAGTTTTGGATTTGGTAATGAAGTACAAAAAACCAATATAAGGGAAAAGTGAAAAAGCAAAAAGCTGTGAAGCTATGCTTTGTGAATCAACATTTGGTGCCCATGGATCAACTGGTAAAAATCCACACTTCACAAGTCTTGTTCTTCTTTTACTGTAAAGTCTTTTACTTTTACCACAGTAATTGAGTTGTTTGGTAGTATTTCTCAAATTGGGACATGTTTGGAAACAGTGGAAAAATGGAGAAGAAGAAGAAGCTAGTGTTATGGGGTTCTTCCAAACAGGGTGTAAGCAGTTTAACATTTTGCAGAAATGACCTTTTTTTGTAGGATGAAAGGAGAAATGAAGACTCAACCGTAAGTAGGAGATAGAGTGAGAGGAGTTAATTGTGGGCTTGCTGGATGATTTATGAACCGGTTCATAGTTGGGCCTAATTTACTTAATTTAAAGAATCTTTACACAAATAGCCGACTAGATTTACTATTTAATTTATAGCCAGTTATATAGATTATACATGGTTATATAAATATTATAGATCTTTTAATCATAAATAATTCATCCACACGCTATTTTTAATTTAAGCAATTAGATAAATGACAAGTTTGATTAATTCTTCTTAATTTTAAAGATGGCCCATTTACCTTTTCTCTATGAACTTTCACGTATGGGCCGTTTGACCTTGAATATTTAGCAAAATGGCCTAATTGACACCTAAACTTGTACCAAATTTTAAAGTCGGCACTCAATCATTTTAACACCTCAAATTGACAGAATGAGTATTAATAAAGCGTAATCATCACTTGCCTAGACAAACATAACACGTCATGTACCAGACGTTTATTTATTTGACATGCATAATTTATGGCCCCATAATTTTTTTTACCAATTAAACAGTTTCTAATTTCTTTCTCTTATTTTTTTGACGTTTACTTGTAACTTAAATCTTTTTTTTTTCGATTTTAGTGTTTTTTTAAAGGGTGATTAACACGCCCTATAACCACGTCAATTACACCGTGCCACACAAGCACTATCAACTGCCATAGGTGTTATTAGTACTCTTTTCATTGAGTAGAGATGTTAAAATAAAATAAATATAAACAAGGTAATCAGCTTTAAAATCTGATGCAAGTTTAGGGGACAGTTATTTCATTTGCATTTTAAAATAAAACATAATTGTGGCTTTTGAGGAAAAATTTACTTTTTCTATTATGCTTAGTTCTAGTTGAGGTTATTTGTGAGTTAGATATTTTTAGGTTTACTGCTCAGGAAATAACAATAATTATTGAAAGAATGAGATTGATATATTTGAGCTCAAAATTTAGTAGTTTATATAATGCTCAGTTGAATTATATCGACGGTTTTTATATTGCCTTTTTGCAGCTCAAACTTAGCAAATATTTGCGTTTTGAGTTGAAAATTTACTTTTTGTAATACCTAGTTGAAGTTTTTATTGGGTTTTACAGTTTTTCACTTACGGATGATTTGTAATTGTTAAGAAAAGAATAATATCTTTGAACTCAAAATTATTTAAGTGGAGGGGATTTGGGTTGAGTAACTTACGGGCGTGTTTTAATTGAACCGGATTTAAAGTTGAGGGTGAGTTTTTTTTTTTGGTTCTTGAGCTGCCACATAGCACTCCGTTTAAATAAGGGGCAAAGCAGTGCGATACTATAATGTGGCATTTGTTATAAAATAATATAATAAAAGAAGAAGAAGAGTATAACGGAGAAAAGTAGAGAGAGAGTTCTTATTGATTTGGGATGAATTATAATGGAATATGACCCGTCTATTTATAGGGAAAGAATGACTTAGCCACCAAGTAATAATCTCTAAAATCTTTCTAAAATATAGACATTTACCTTAAATACAATTCTATTTATAATAATTTCCCCTTGAATGTCTATTTAACAGATAATGTGCCTCGTTAAAACCTTAACTAAAATAAAACCCAGTGAGAAAAAATTTTAGTGAAGGAAAAAGAATACACATATCTAACAATACGCCTTTTGGTTGCCTCGTTAAAAACTTGCAAGGAAAAACCAGTGGGACCAAACCTTGTAAGGAAAAAAGAGTACAACGCGTATTAACTCCCCCCGATGAGAGCATTAATTTATATCCTTGAGCCTTCGCATTCCAATATTGTGCACCATCTTCATAAGATCGTTGGTAGAGATTTGATAAACAAATCAGCCACATTAACTCGAATGAATAAGTTGCACCTTGAAATCATCATTCTTGATAAATCTGTAATGTCTTCATATAATGTCATGGAATGGTCTTTTCAGTATCTCTATAAAGGTAAAAATTCTCACTATCATATTATCATGCTTAAAGTTATAGCAAGATGCATATGTGCACAAATTGCACTTAAGATGTGTTACTTCAAGACCAAGAATTGTATATGCTTTAAACGATTTAAATCCTTCAGGGATTGTCATATAAGTTAAGTCATATAAGCGATATAAATAGACTTTAGATACATATCAAGTTTTCATGTCATGCTAGACATATAAGAAAGATAAAAGTGATTGCACATACCATTGATTTTATACTTTCAAGTGTTTGAACTACATATCTTTCATATGAAATCAATTCTACTTGAACTATGTCACTTCCATTTGGCCAATATTTTTGCGTCTGAATTTGACAAACTTAATATCTTCATTTATACTTAGCGCTATCATAGATGTCGTCGACGAACATTTTATATCGGTTCCAATATTTTTTCATAAAGACATAAAATAGAGATCTCTTAATTCATATTTTCAGGTACCTAAACCTTTCCTGAGATTTTATGAAGTATTATATCGTGTGATCTTCTAGATTACTTGCCGCCTTATTGTGATAATTTTGATCATTTGCTCATCTTCTTTATCAAAATTTTTATTTGAAACTGATTTGTCTATATGCTTTAATCATACCATAGACTTTGTCCTTCTAGAACGTATTCTAATATGAGCATTTGTAGTGAGAATATAGTTACTTTCTTTGGTCAGCAAATGCGTCTGGCATGCTTTACAATATATTGTAGATGAATTATCTTTTTATGAACTTCAAGTTCATATTATTTTATTCGAGGATATAGATGTACAAATGATAATTCATTCTGCGTAACCTTTTCTCAACTGTTTATCCTTTCTCCCCTTCATGTTAGAAAAACTAACTTGCTTCCTCAACTTTGAAAATCCACCTTTGTGCGTTACGATGTTAATCAAAATATATACCGCATATCAAAAATAATAAGATGAAATTATTTGGTTCCTGACCCTGAACTACTTGTGAGGGGAGAATGTGATATACTTTCGTATATAACCTATATCAAACCGATATAGATAACTTTGTTCTCATAAGCAATAATTTAGCTATTAAGTAGAGACACTCAATAAATTATTTCGCTAAACCAATTGTGATATAAACCAACTTATCAAGATGAACTGTATTGAATAGAAAATCTAGAAATTATGCTTTAAATTAAATTAGTGAGCAAGTTACCTCGCAAACATCAGGTTGCGGGTTAATAATAAAAATCGCACATATAACCATTTTATAGATGCATCTTATGTGGTATACATGGCAGGTGAATGAGCCCATATTCACATTTAATATTTTCAGTATTCGTGGGATTCAATCCCAATTTTAATTGGTCTATTAATTAATAAGAACAAGAAACATAAGAGAATACGTAAAGAACTTTCTAGTTCTTTAATATTTACTCATATGAATTCTCTTTTATTTTTGCACATGATACTTAAATTAGCATGGCTAAACTAATTATGCCAACTGAATAAATTATCAATATTGATACTTTAGATTTACCCTATGACGTGTGCAATTATCAATAAACTCCAAGTTTATTATGACAAGAGTTTTTATATCAATAAACTTCTATTTTATTGTGTTATTCTTTTATTTGTGTCGTACAAACTGGAGAATAAAGCGGGTAGTTTTTCACATACATATTATCCCGCTATAAGTTGTAGTAATAGAAGATATTAAATCTTTCCTTTATTTATAGTCTCAATATAACCAAGCGTTTTCGCGAATACTTTAGAAACTAAATAAATTTGTTTGAGATTTACTACGACACAATACCTTATTGATAATTAATTTTAATTCTCCAAAATAGTGATAATTGGCTCTTCTAGAGCTCTCAATTAATTTTGTACTATCACATATAAATCAACATCCATATGGTGAATATCTCTTTGAAGGAGAACGTTATACCATTATGGTCATGGTCAAAATCATTATAGGCAAGATATATTGCTTCTATTACTATTGCCCTGTAATAATTACATTGTCATAATATTTTGGTGTATAATAGGTACGTGATCAATGACCATTCATACCATAATAATGGCATTATTTTCTTATTACATCTCAAATTTCCTCCTAGAGCTGAGTGTGGTATTCACTACCACTAGCACATTCATATTCTTCAAAAAATGAATATGTATTCATAAATCACATGTTGTCACATTCACATCATGAATGGACCATAATCATCTATATGTGCTTTACAAAATCTCATGTCAAATTGATGACAAACATTACTTTCAACGGTGAAGGATTATTTTGAGAATCCTTATTGTTCTCATTTCCACAATGATGACGATTCTAATTTCGTCTATTACTACGTCCGCATCCATTGATATCTTCACGGTAATAATTTTGTCTTCTTTCAGACTTATCACATATTGCTATCACATTCTGTTAAGGAAACAAGAATGGAGCAAATTCAATGGGACTGGTTTTCACTTCTTGTGCTCACAATCATACATGAATTTGATCATGACAAGACATAGAAATTTTATCACTTCGGGTAATTATAGTTTTTTTTTATAAACTCCATTAGAGTTATAATCAAAATTTATTGTCTTTGCTTGTATTTAAAATCAAATTATAGAATGTCAAGAATTTAAAAGAGAAAATAAGGTAAAATACTTACCTTAAATCCAGAATTTATTCTTGAAGGAAGGTCATGTAACAATTGACAATCATGATGCTCAATATTATGTACAAGTTGAGCACCATGCACGTAACCCAAAGCCTGGTAACCAAAGCAGATGCCTCTACTCAATTAGTTAGAGTCTCGTGTTGATAACATGTTATAAAATAATAAAAGAAGAAGAGTGTTACAGAGAAAAATAGAGAGAGAATTCTTATTGATTTGGGATAAATTACAATGGAATAGGACCCCTCTATTTATAGGAAAAGAATGACTTAGCCACCAAGTAATAATCCCTAAAATCTCTCTAAAATATAGACATTCACCTTAAATACAATTCTATTTAGAACAGTATTATAATTAAACAATACTCAATCGGAGAATATATTTAAACTATTTTGAATAATAGTTGA